TAAGTTGGCTCGGCGGGTTGTCGCGGCCGCTACAGGTTCGTCCACTGTACCGGGGTCGATCCAAGGGGTGGACGTGCGTATTTTGGTGGATTCCGGGGCGTCCGCGACCATTATTTCGGATGTCATATTCCATCTTTTGAACATCCCACCGGGGGCCGTGAGGCCGGCTTACGCTTCCTGCATCGCTGCGAACGGGGGTAGTATGGGCATCGTGGGACAGGTGGACGCTAATATTTCTATCGGGGGGGTCTCGGCCTCGGGCGTTGTGTTAATTTCGAGGTCCCTGGCGGTTCCTTGCTTGTTGGGCACGGATTTTTTGGCTAAGATGCCCATTTTAATTAGAATCAATGAAAATTGCATTGAACTGCCAGGGGGCCGCAAATTGGCGTTTTTACAGTCCACCTGGGGGCGACCGGCTCCGGTTGCCCAGGTGCAGGCGTTATCGGAAGTTTCAGTTGATATTCCACCTGGCTCGCAGATGCTCATTCCCCTACGATACCGGAAGCCGGTTCCGGGTCGGCAGAGTGCTTGTGGAATTTTGCTGTCGCCGTCCGCCGCTGTTACGGGCGGATTGGCACTGGTGGGGGCGCAAACCATTGTCCGTCCGGATCAGCGCCCGTTTTTGCAGGTGTTAAATGCGACTTCTGAAAGCGTGTGTGTGCCGGCTGGTACCGTTGTGGCACACGCCACTACGGCGTTTACGGCTCAGAGTGACATTCCGGACGGGGGGCTGGTAGGTGGTGTTTCACACGACGGAGGGGTGGACGATCGTTGGATCGCCGAATTATGTGCGGAAAATTCGGCCCTTTCCGCTGAGCAGCGTTGTGCGATTCATAAATTATTAGCGAGCTATTCCGATGTGTTTAGCTCGGACGATTTGGACTTGGGACGCACCTCGCTGCTCTCTCATCACATCGAAACGGGGGACGCGGCCCCTATCCGCTTGAACTCGCGTCGGATGAGTCCGGCTGAGCGTGAGCACGTTCGAGGGGCAGTGGAAGACATGTTGAAAGCGGATATTATATCTCCGTCTAATAGCCCGTGGGGTGCGCCTGTCGTGTTGGTTAAAAAGAAAGATGGTAAATTACGATTTTGTGTGGATTTTCGGAAGTTAAATAAAGTGTCGGTGGCAGATGCGTATCCCCTGCCGCGTATGGACGATTCTCTCGACGCCTTGTCAGGGGCTAAGTTTTTTTCAACGCTAGATCTCTCTTCGGGCTTCTGGCAGCTTCCCCTTGACGAGCCCTCGCGGGAAAAGACAGCGTTCCGTACGCCGCAGGGGTTGTTCCAATTTAACTGTCTGCCGATGGGGTTGAATGCAGCCCCTGCCACCTTTCAGAGATTGATGGAGTTGGTATTGACGGGGTTGCAGTGGGAGACATGTCTCATTTATTTAGATGATATTATTGTCTTCAGCCGCACATTTGATGAGCATTTATTGCGGTTGGAGGCCGTTTTTGCCAGAATGCGTTCTGCTAATTTGAAATTCAAGCCTAAGAAATGTCATCTACTGCAACGTTCCGTTCGATACTTGGGACATATTGTTAGTGCGGACGGGGTGGCCACGGATCCAGAGAAAACTGCGTGTGTCCGGGATTGGGCAACCCCCGCCACGGTGGGTGATGTGCGTCGGTTTTTGGGGTTCGCCTCATATTACCGGAGGTTTGTTCCGAATTTCGCTACTATCGCCAGGCCTTTGCATCTCCTTACTGGGAAGGGGCACAAATTTGTGTGGGGACCGCCGGAGGAGGCGGCGTTTCGGAGCCTGCGCGACCTATTGGCTACTGCGCCGACGTTGGATTATCCGGATTTTGAACATCCCTTCATTCTGGATACTGATGCGAGTGACACCGGGATTGGGGCGGTGTTGTCCCAGTCAAAAGGTGGTGTTGAGCGTGTGGTGGCGTACGGGAGTCGGGTTTTGTCTCCCGCGGAAACTCGTTACTGCGTCACTCGCAGGGAACTTTTGGCTATTGTGTATTTTCTCCGCCAATTTCGACCGTATCTGTACGGTCGGTCGTTTATTGTCCGAACGGACCATGCGGCCTTGCAGTACGCTCTTAAGATGGACCAGCCATCCGGACAATTGGCGAGATGGCTGGACACGTTGCAAGAATTCTCCTTCCAAATTCACCATCGGAAGGGTGTGCGTCACGCTAACGCGGACGCACTGTCCAGGTTGCCGCAACAATCCCCTTGTGCGTGTGCGTCGGGGACGCATAGGTGTGGACCGGCTCAGCCCCCCCCTCAACCTGTCGCGCGGGCAGTGGATGTTCTCGAACCTCCGCTTACACCGGGACCGGTTGAAGGGGGACCGGCTGACGGGATTTTGCGTCTTCCAAGGTCTGTGTGGATTCGGGAGCAAATGTTGGACGATTCTTTGGTGTCGTTACGGAAACGAACGGAGAAGGCGGGTAAGGAAGTCGGTGCGGGTGGTAATTCGGAAACTGCTCTCCGAGATGGGTTACTGATGTGGAGGGAAGGGATACAGGAACACTGGCGTCTCGTTGTGCCTGCGTCATTGCGCTATGAGTTGATTCGATCTTTGCACTGTGACACACTTTTACACCTGGGGGTGCAGAAAACCCTATTGACGCTGCAACGAGACTATTATTGGCACGGCATGACGACGGATGTCGTCGGTCACGTTCGCGCGTGTCCCGATTGTGCCCGCCGTAAGCCGCCTAAACATCCATATGTTCCGCCGATACAATCGATTAAAGTATCTCGGGTTAATGAGTTGGTGGCGTTAGATATTTTGGGACCCTTTCCGCCATCAGCTAAAGGGAATAAGTATTTACTGGTGGGGGTGGAGTACCTCTCTCGCTGGCCGATGGCCTGGCCCTTGCCTGACCAGTCAGCGGCGTCTATCACGGACGCCTTTCTATTTGGGTATGTAATGGACAAAGGGGCTCCGGAGAGGCTCCTTACGGATCAGGGACGTAACTTTTCGTCTAAATTGTTGGGGGAGGTGTGTGCGGCTCTTGGAACTAAAAAGATACGGACGTCCCCCTACCACCCGCAAACGGATGGTATGGTGGAACGGTTGAATCGGACTCTGTCCGCCATGCTGTGCCATACAGTCGGGGAAAACCAATCTGATTGGGATTTGCATATCCCTGGGGTGCTTTCGGCGTATCGCATGACGCCGCACGCGGCTACTGGATACTCGCCGTTTTTCCTTATGTACGGCCGTGAGAACGTGCCGCCGATTCATGACCAGTTGGGAACCGGTGCGAGGGGGCCTGTTAAGCCTCTTCCTGAGTATATTAAGGACAACGTTCGGCGTGTCGCTGAGGCGAGGGAAAATGCCCGCATGGCTACTGCCAAGGCTCAGGCCAGGAATGAGCGGTGTGCCCGACGTTCAAAGGGGGAGTGTCCCTGGTTAAAGGGGGACCTGGCCTGGCTTCATTGCCCACAGGTGCGGCCAGGTACATCTCCTAAATTACATCGACCTTGGCAGGGTCCGGTCCGCCTCATTGAGGTTCCCAACCCACAGTCGGCGCGTGTTCAGGTTGGTGCACGGCGTTGGTTCGTGCACACGTCCCGGTTGAAGCCATACATTGCCCCACGGCCGGATGCGTCATCTCCCCAAGTTGCCTTGCCGGGGTCTGTTGCTGCCGACTCGCCCTTGCCTGTGTCTGCTGACCTTGCGAGAGCGCCTGTCGTACCCTTCACAGACAAGCCGGCCGTGACAGCGCAGGGAGGAGGACCTTCCGCTTGTGGGACGCCGACCGGAGCCGCAGAACCCACGGGACCTGCAGCTCTTCCTATCCCTCCGCGGACGCGAGTACGGGATGTTTCTGGACGCGAGCGGGACAGTGGCGGGCCTCCAATGGCGACGGAAGAACTTGCGCCCGTCGCCCCTAAAACCCTTCCACGTTCCCGCTCGGCGGGTGGGCCGCCGACCGTCCGGGACGGCCCGGCTACCCGTACTCGCTCGAAATCCCTCACGTTTCGTTAGATTGTGTTGTGTTGTGTTATTGTTATAATGTTCTTCAATGCTTCGTGTCTTTTTGCGTGTTGGGCCTTTACACCCGCATTGCTTTTCAGGTTGCAATTCAGCCGAGGTCGGCTGGATTTTCTTTAGGGGGGAGGGTGATGTAATGCGGTTGTAAATGGCCCTTCTGAGGTGCCGTCAGGGGGGGAGGAGTTAGGTCACGTGGGGGGAGAGGGGTTGAGTATAGAAGGAGGGGAACCGGAAGAGCAGGGGGAGTGACGGGGAGCCAGGAAAAGAGGAAGGCCACGTAGGGCGAAGCGGGGTGTGGCGAGATCGCCACGAACACGGGGGGAGCGAGGATCGGCACCGTTGGCCAGCGGTGACCGACCCGAAGCAGCGAGGAGGCTGCAGTCAGCAGCGGGGCTGCACAGAGAGAGTGGGCAGCGGGTCTGCATACAGTGACAGCCAGAGGGTCTGCACATAGGGGTAGCAGCGAGTCTGCAGGGAGGAGGTTATAGTAGATGAAGCAGAGAGTCAGAGGGGAGAGGAAGCTATAATAGCAGTGAATAGCCGGGGCTACAAACACAGGAGTTATAACAGAGTGCCGTGTGGGTAAAGACGTGAACCTGAATAAAGACACGAAGACAGAAAGAAGTGTTCGAGTCCTTTTATTACACAATGACAATAGTTTAAAGCGATTTGAAGCATGTTTTATTTTCAAAATGGAATTATAGTTTTTTGGGGGGGCGGGGGGGGGCAGAGCTTTGTGACGTCATATTTGAGTGGGGGGGGGGTTGACTTTTTGTGACGTCATATTTGAGTGGGGGGGGTTGACTTTTTGTGACGTCATGTAACGAAAGGGGGGGGTTGACTTTTTGTGACGTCATATTTGAGTGGGGGGGGGGTTGACTTTTTGTGACGTCATATTTGAGTGGGGGGGGGGGTTGACTTTTTGTGACGTCATATTTGAGTGGGGGGGGTGACTTTTTGTGACGTCATATTTGAGGGGGGGGGGTGACTTTTTGTGACGTCACGTGACGAAGGAGGGGGTGGGGTCAAAAATCGTCCAAAATCGCGTGACGTCATTTATGGACGTCCCCTTACCTCACATATCGCTGCGATAATTCTGTTGTATTTGCTCGTCGTAGTCGTCGTTATCGTGAGGTAAACAACAACAACTTTGCCGTAATTATTGTTATTATTATTATTGTTAATAATATTATTATTGTTAATAATAATAAAAACCCGTTCTTCAACTCAAAGCTGCGATGGCGGAAAAGGGAGACTTGGACCTCACCGGCGCTAAACTCAATCGCGGCCTGTGGCTTGTCAAGGTAACAGAAACCATCGCAGACACCACCACCAACACCACCAGCAGGCAGGCGTGGAGAAGGAGTGGGGGGCACGAGATATCCACTGCTGGATGGTGTTGGCCCCCCTTTGAACACGCACAAACATCATTAAGCCGCTGCGAGGCGAGCCCCGATGCGCTGTATCCCGTCTCCTGTCGGGCGCCTACAACTCGCAAATAACATCGAGTAGCAGCAGCAGCAATACTAATCGATTAACCCGCTGTGGAAATTCCACGTTCTTATGGACGGGGCTTTGTTCAGTCCACCGTGCGAAGAAGCGAAGTTTGTAGGCCGAGGCGGCGGCGGTGGTGGTTTGAGGCCTAAGTCAGGCTCGTGTCGGTTTTTATATTTTAATTTTAATTGTTTTAATAAACGAGGCGAGTCGAGAGATTTCGTTCTAAGTCTGCACGTTTGCTCGTCAGTTTTTATGTTTAAATGACGGTATTTTGTGTAAAGGCGTTTCTACGTAACGAATGTATGCGTTGTAGTACAGTGCGTACAGTAATGTATAATTAAGTAAAGATCGCGAATGGCATTGAGTCTCTTGTCTTAAGTACAAATTATATTGCATCTATGATTAAAGTCTAATACGTAAAACATTAATTCCACAGAGGGTTAAATATTGGATATTGCTTGCATGGATGACCACATTGCAAGACCGTGTGTGTTATAGGGGGCTACGTTGTTAGCGACAAATTCCCATGTTGTTGTACTGCACTTCAATGCTCCTCATTCAGTGACCAGTGTGGGGAAGTATGGTCAACTGACCCCCGCCACCCGCACTGCGTGGGGGGGCTGTCATCCAGCAGTGGATTGACACAACAACAGGCCATGCACATAACAGCACACGCTATCTACAAATTTATCTCGTAGTGCGATACAATAACAATTGATTATGCGGCATAGATTATGAATTTAATTGAGCTTGAACATGGTTAATTAATGAAGTGTTATAATATTGATAAGGGGCCGTCCATAAATGACGTCACGTACCTAGGGAGGGGGGGGGGGTCAGACGTTTGTGACGATGTGTGACGAGGGGGGGGGGAGAAATGTGACATCAAAATGCGAAATTTTAAATAAATGTAGAATCTAGATTTAAATATAGAATTGTATAACAACACTAATTGTTATAACAACACTCCTACAACATCAGAGTGCAGCGCCACATTAAATACGTACTACAATGACAATAGTTTAAAGTGTAATTGCCTTCACTGCCACGATTTGAAGCATGTTTTATTTTCAAAATGGAAATATGGTTTTGAGGGGGGGGCAGAGCTTTGTGACGTCATATTTGAGGGGGGGTCTGACTTTTTGTGACGCCGTGTGACGAGGGGGGGGGGGTCAAAAGTCGTCCAAAATTGCGTGACGTCATTTATGGACGGCCCCTGATGGAAATATTTAGCTTTTACTCCTGATTGGTTAAACAGCTGAGCAGGGTTGATCCTGGTTAATGCTTGCATGGACCACCATTGCATAACCCATTGCTATAAGCTGCAGCGTGGCTTTGTTAGTATGCCTGTTTCATCACCAAGATACGCCTCACTGGAGGAGTCTCTGTGAACCTTTTGCAGGAGGGTCCTGCCAGTCTTTCATGGTGGTGGTGGGGGCGGGGGCGATGATTGCTATGCATAATCCCAGTTGAGCAATTCGGAGGTGATATTTCAGATGTGGCAAATTTGGACCATGATGCCAGCATACAATGGCCTACTCGTACGGTTAATACACCCACAAGTATGAATTGGGGCTGCCAATGAATTTGAACCGTGAACCTCTGCAGCAAGTGGCAGTGAAGGCAACGATGGCGTGGTCACGATGCAACAGCATATTCGTTGTTTTTGGGAGTTCAATGTAATACCATAGGCGCAAGTATCTTGGTCGGAATTTCTGTCTGGGAGTAATCATGTGCGTAGTGTGAAGGCTGTATTGCTTGCTAACTCTGGATATTTGTTTTGCAGGTTCCAAAATATCTGTCTCAACAGTGGGGCAAAGCCACTGAGCGTGGTGAAGTCGGAAAGCTGAAAATTTCAAAGTAAGAGTGATTGATATTAAGTCTCTAATCAACAACCCCGCTCTCTCATACAGGAATATGTGTTAATAATGTATAATTTTCTGCGGCATTGCTTTTTATTATAATCATCATTATTTGCATTTCGTGTTCATTTTCTCTGGTACGGATGGTCCCAATCTTTTGTGGGTTACTTCCAATAACTCATTGGTTCTTTCGCTAAAGTCACGTATCAAGAGAAAATAAATTAAATACTAGCATACGACGTTTCGATTTTTTTACTTTCAATAATCCAAAAATAGTGGTTGACGGACCAAGATACATTTTTAGTTTGATCCCAAAGTATGACACTGCAGTTCTCTTCCAGCGAGATATCGCTTGGCAACAGGTGATGATGAATGCTACTTAATGTTCGTACGAGGACACGTTAAACTTTTCGCGTTTTCTGGTCTAACACCGTTTGAGACGAGGCTCAAAAGAAAGCTGTCTCTGGTGTGGACCAATCAGTTTCAAAGACAATGCATAAATTACCAGAGTATTGTTTTTTGTTTGCATTTGACTGCAAGTATTGTGGTTAATGTAAGCATGATTCCTTGTGAAAGATTTCAGTTTGGTGTTTTAACATCTTAACACCTGTTTTGTTGCCAGAAAAAAGGGGAAAAATCTACTCTTTGGTTTTTTTGGTAAAGTCACGTAGATGAAAAATAAAAATATGATTATTTTAAAATGTATTATTATTAAATTGTATTATTATTTATTTGTATTATTATTTGTATTTTTTATTTTTCACCTACGTGACTTTACCGATGGATCCTGGCAGTCACGAAAACTTCAAATCTAGAATTAACCTATTATCTTATTAAATTTATGTCAGTCTTCCGAACATCGGAATAAAGATGTAAGCATTTCCTTAAAAATGAGAAAATCCGAAATCTGAAACTCTAGGGCATCCGTGTGGGCTCGTGCGTTGGTCTTTGTGTGCGTGTGTGCATTTATGTACGTGTATTTTTTGTGTGCGTTGAGACGTGTTTTTTGTTTAAGTGTGTATGCTTTATGAATGCGCATGTGTTCGGAGTGCACATGCATATGTGCATGTTTAATGTCAAACCATCAACTTGAATGAAAATTGACAATTTATCATGTTTGTGGCTGGAAAATCAAAACATTTCCACTCCTGCTGCACATAGTATGTATGTCTGTAAACACGTTCATGCACTGTCTGTGCGCATGGTTACTCTGACAACTGAAATTTGCTTCGTAATAGGATGAATAAGAGGTTGGATGTTGGGACAAATTGACCCATGGATAATAGGATTTGGCCATAAGATGGTCTGGAATAATATATGCTTTTCACTGTGCATTTGTGTTTTACCTTTGGTGTTTTCGCTTAGCGTTAGGCGTGTGTATTATTTACTTTTTTTTACCAGGTAAGGCCCATTGAGCTATATAGCTCTTTTTCAGAAGCGACCCTGGCCACGCATGATAGCGCAACGAAGTGGCTCATGAGTTGGAAATATTTACCAGCCAAATACTTTAAACGCACGTTGATTCTAAATGTGGTTGTAAAAAGCGGAGAAAAATCCACGTGATCATGGGGAGAACGTGAAAACTACAAATATGCAGGTGCCGGGTTCGAACTCACGACCTGTATACCAGGCGAGGTAGTTAGCACCTTGCCACCGCGGCACATGTATGTGCGCTACATATGGACATGTATATGTGGACTAGTGACGGACAGCTGTTTACCAAACGTCTTGTCTATGCGTGCCTCATTCGCTGAGTTGACTTCAACAACATTTAAAAAACGCGTTTCACTGGAATAAAAAGCCAGACTCCTGAAAAAGTTGGGCAATCCTTGGTCAAGGAACAGTACGAGCATCATTACCGCAATATCCGTTAACGAGCGAAATCAAAAGCGGCCGCAGTCAGGAGAGACGCAAAGGATTGTTGATTAAATAAAATGTAGTCTGACTGGCACATCCGACCTTGTAGCTCTAATTGGCTCACGTTTTTTTTTTAATCTCCCACAACCGCCAAATTGCATTATGCGATGAGGGTTAGAGTTCATTTTCAAGAGCCTTTTTACCGCTTAATGAATCTTCCATTTGCGTTCACCACAACAATATAAGTGGTTCTGTATGTTAATTACTAAAGAGCTCACGCTATTTTTTGTTGTTCTTTGTGTTTTTTTTGCAGGGGACAAGGAAAGACCGAGGTGAGGATTAATATAGTTGTTATAATGCCATTACATCATCATCAACGTCACTCAGAACAAACCATGGCACGTATAACGACTCCAATCACCGATTCTCAGCGGGAGGCATCATCGCAGCGGTACATTGAACAAAATTACATGGTTTCAACCGCCTCGGTGTTGCAGCTCTGCATCGACATGAGCCATATATGAAGATCATTATCAGCCACGGTCAAGCAAAGCAACAGAATACAAATCGGAAGAGGCGCGAGGCAAGGAGATGCACTCAACCAAGGCCGTTCACAGAGACACTACAAGATACATTTTTTTTATTGTAGAAATGCATAAATATAAATGGTGAATGCATTAACCGTGGAATTTTTGGCGGCATAGCCATGAAGATGTTAGTCACGTGACAGCAGTTGTGCTGTACACCTCTCCCGCGTGGTTTTTGGGGTTCTTCTGCGTGCTATTTGTTGCGATGCCCCGACGTTTCGCTCCACGTGCCGGGAATTCCTTCGGGGACTGAATGCGTCGACTGACGGGTTATCGAGTTTTACCGCAAGTTGATTGACGCGACTCGCGAGTGAAATGTCGGGGGGGGGGAGCTGTGCACGTGGTCTGTCTACTTGGCGCGTCAATCTTTCAGCCTGCGCTCTCCTCGCTGGTGGATTGCGTGTGCTGCGCGGACGACACGGCACGCGCACACACGCACACACGCACACCGCGCGTGTTCTTCACGTGAATGTGCCACAGTAGCGGTTTGTCTCCTCAAGCAGTCGTACGCCGAACGTTCTTCGTACGTTTAATTTGAGAAGGCGAGGAGGAGTGAAATGTGGCCTGTCTAAGGGTGAAGTACTTAATGCTTTTGGGTTTTTGTTGTTGTGCAAAGGAAAAAATGCACTCGTATTCCCCTCCATCTCAGATTGGACGCCGTCAAAGCTTTCATTCTAGCGATGTTTGGCCTGCTGTGATGCCATCTGCAGACCGACCTCGGAGATTGTCCTAAACTGCTGGGGCCCCCTGTACCATGCACCCTTCGTTTGGCACACAAACACGATCTCTACTATTCTTAGGTTTTTTCGGTAAAGTCACGTAGGTAAAACATTAAAATTAATAAAAGTAAAATAAAATAAAAATCACGACGTTTCGGAGGCAACACAAGCTTCCATCTTCAGGTGGAACCGTCACAGCCACGACAGCTGTATCAAGTAAATGAGAGATTGCAGGAGCTACCACTCCGTTTATATAATGGTTGGAGAGGGGGGGGGGCCAAGTAAAGCACACTTTTTATTAATATGGTAAGGTGAGGCTTAAGACTAAGAATAGACTGCATAACAAAGGCTGAGCCTTTGTTATGCAGTCTATAACAAAGGCTGAGCCTTTGTTATGGAGAGGTACGGTTTGTGACTCAACCTGTGACAAGGAGACAACCACTAAACATGGTAAACCTGTAATAGTCTGTCAAATAAGATTGGCCAACTAAGTGTAGTTAAATCTCTACTGTTTAACACGTAGGCTTCAAGTTGTAAATGTTTTTTGATTTACTCTCCAATACACCGGTTGGATGAAGTAGTGTAACTAATTAGCGCGTTGTTTACGTGACGAATCTTACTGGCTAAACCTTGATTATAAACGACCTGTAGCCAAACGCAAACCTCACTCCGCCTAGTGCTCAGGAGGACAGGTATCACCGCCCCATCGTTGCGCTATCATTTGTGGCCGGGTCGCTTCTGAAAAAGAAGCTAATAGGTCGGTGGGCTTTTTCTGGTAAAATAAAAATAGTTTAGTTTTATATTTGTTGGTGATTTTCTTACCTTTCCTATACTTTTCACTTCTGTTGTGTTTTAGTATTGTTTCTTGTAATTTTCTGTGTTTAGTTTGTTGTCCTTTCCCCCCCCCCCCGCCTCTCCGATTAGCGCGGTTGGGTACGTACGTACGGTGCGAAAGAAGTCCAACGCACGTACATAAATACCGGACGTCTGTGAAAAAGCTCATCGGATTCCTCCGTCATAAATAATCTGATTTGCGCTTCGTTCATCCTCAAAGTACTCCGCGACAAATCGGCTAATTACCCCGTTGGCTGCCTCTCATTGCAGTCCTCATCGCTGTCGTCTTGGCAGCGCCTCTCTTCTCCTCCTCCTCAATGCGCTCTGAGTGAGATCCTCTCTCTTGCGCGTTGCCGCCCCGCACGCTATGTTAACGAGCTCCCTCTCCGCTGTTTCGGCTTAAATCCCCCCCCGCCTCCCAATTTTGGACATTTTTAAATTCCTCAATTTGACGTCTCCCTTTGGTTAGCGAACCGCCGCGCGAGTTGCTGTTGTGTTTCTGTCTTACCTGCTCTGCCAGTGTTATATTCTTGGTTCTTTCGGTAAAGTCACGTAGAAGGGAAATGATAAAATAATATAAATATGAATCCCTGCAGCCACGAAAGCTTTAAATCAAATTTTTTGCTCTGCCAGTGTTACTTGAGTGGTGCATAACTTGAATGGGTTTTTTTCCCCCTCCAATGTATTTGCTATTCATTGTCGGCAATGTTATAATTTATTTTCGCTGCTTTCACTTCCTTTGTTCCCCCCCCCCCCCCCCCACTAAGGTCCTCTGCAGGTGATTCTTGTAAAACAGCTAAAGGCTGAATATTTCTTACCGGCGTAAACTGATCAAATCAATCAAGCTCTCTTATCTCTCTCGTTCATCTCACCAATCGGTCTCTGGCTGTTCTCATCTCTGTCTCTTGTTTGTCTCGATAATTTGTATCTATTTACGTCTTGGCGAGCCAAACATCTCTCAGTGGGGGACGTCGCCGCTTCAGGTAACTTGGCCTCTCAAGCGGTAGGGAGGCAATAAATAATCGCATTAAAAAAAAAGGCAATTTTGAAGACGCAAACAATACAAGACGTTGACTTCTTGTGCAGTAATACATCTGCAGCGTGGTTATCAAGCAAGCGTTTTATTCACACGTTGACACTTGAGACTTAAAACAAGGTAGAGGTGCAGCCCCTGCAATTGGTCGCTCAGGTCAAAGAGAGGGGCCTCCGCTAGAGGGAGCTATGGACGGTCTACGGTCTACTCCTTCGCGCTGTTGGAAGAGGTGGAAGCAGCCACGCTTTGCCAAAACCTGCCAATTGGCGAACAGTGGTGTACCCATTGGGGCACTGCGGTAGCGAGATAATAACTACCTCGCCTGGTGTACACAGGAGGTCGTGGGTTTGATCTCGACCCTGACACTTGTATATTTTGAGTTTGCGTGTCTCTCTGCTCATGGTCGCGTGGTGTTTTCTCTCCTCCGTTTTTTTCCCCTCGACATGTAGAATCGACGTGCGTTTAGAGTATTTGGCTGCTATCAATTTCCACATGATAAGCCACTTCGTTGAGCTATCATTCGTGGTCAGGTGGCTTCTGAAAAAGAGCTAAATAAGCTCGGTAGACCTTATCTGGTAAAATAAAAAATATAGTTTCAATAGTTTATTCATAATCAACGTTTTTGGGTTAGATCGCGTTACTTATAAATGTGTCGTAACCCTCCACCACCCGACACGGCCAATCAGCAAAAAAGTGTCACGTTGACAAAAGACAAATAGTTCACTGCTTTAGCCCACCGGTGTGTTGAAGCGTGAAACCACAACATTTACAAATTTTTTTTTTGGGTACGACGTTTCGCTGGTAATTGCATCCAGCATCATCGGGCAATTCGCCAGAATGGTGAGGCTCTGCTCTTGCTCCCGGTCTTAAATAGAGCAGCAGCAGGGTGACGTCATCATTTAACTCATCAGGTGCAACGATTTAGTTAAGTTGAACTGCTGGGTGGACAAAGCCAAGAAACATACCCCCGTTGTTTTAACCGCTGTGCCGGAAGATGGACTCGAACCCGGTGACCTCTGCATTGCAGCGTGCTAACTAATTCACACGTACGCGCGTACACAATGTTCACGGCGGTGTCGCGCACGCTTGTGAAAATTTCATATTTAATTTAAAATACCAATGTGATAAAAATGAAACTCTAACTCAAGACAAACAGAAATGAATAATAAAATAAAACCGATGCCACGCATATAAAGGATTTATAGTGAAAAACTTTGTTTTTACGGGTTAATTTTTTCCTCAGGTCTCCTTTGTGCTGAGCGAGGAGCTGGCTGGGGGAGGGGTCCAGGGGACGAGCGCAAAGAGCACGGCCATCAGCACCCCACGTGACCACGTGCTGGCCCTTCAGGGGGTTGCTGGGCAAAGCCTCGGTGTCTTCACTGAAGGCTCCTCTGGTACGGAGAGATAATTATTAAGTTTATTTTTTAAATCGCTTCTCGCCATTTTTGCTTAAGATCATGTTTTAGTATCTCCTGTTCTTTTCGTTGTTGTTGTTGTTGTGTGTAGTTTGTTGTCCTCCCCCTCACCCCTAACCCGCACCTCCGATTTGCACGGTTGGCTACGTACGGTGAGAAAGAAGCTCTACATACATAGAAAATATATTGTCTCGTGTCATTTGTGAAAATGCCGTGGCGTTTGTAACGTGCGCAGTCAGAACCAATGCCAAACAAATGCCCAAGCTTTGTGGTCCTATATTTGTATGTTTGGCCAACTCCCATAAACGAGTGTTTGTAAACATAGGAGGAAACCGGAGTACCTGGAGAAAACGCACACGGTGCAAGGTGTGGGTTCACTCATTCCCCCATCCAGACAGAAACGATACCACTCGCTGTTCTGCCTTACCATGACAGACCAGGAGATGGCGACCTTCAACGCTCATGGGCAGAGAGGGAGTCTCACAAATGTGAGCGATACACCAACCCTCGCCTGCGAAAGTCCTGGCTCACAGGCGAGCGTAACCGCCCGTGCAGTTTGACCCATTGACGGCGATTGTGGAAGAGACGTGGTAATGCGGACAAGTGTTTCAAAGGCAACCCATGCTAGCTCAATTGGAACTCTTTGCTGTACGGCAAGTCCTCGCTTAGCGCATGGTGTTCACACGATAACGCGTGTTCTCATCAACGCGGTCCTTCTGTTAGGGAACATTTTTGCGCACAATGTGGAATACACGCAACGTTGTGACGCGGAATGCGTGCCGACATAACGTGGAACGCGCACACCGTTATAATGTGAAACGTCGCACCGTTATAGCGTAGAACGTTACATCGTTATAACGCGGTTTCTGAGCGGTCAGACGATAAACTCTTCTTGAGCTTAATTCTAGATTTGAAGTTTTCGTGACTGCAAGGATCCATATTCTTTGGTTTTTTCGGTAAAGTCACGTAGGTGAAAAAAAACAAATAAATTAAATCACGACGTTTCGGAGGCAACACAAGCTTCCGTCTTCAGGTGGAACCGTCACAGCAAAATGACTGTATCAAGTGAAGAGAGCTCTGGGAGACACGACCTTGTATATATCTTCCTGAGCTGAGCGGTACGGTGATAGAGTACGCGGAATGATACAGTCACGCGGGGGTGTACCCTCGGTTATTTGTCGCACCATCTCTGCGCGTGCGTAGCAGTACATCGTATCGCGCCAAATTTCGTCGTTGCATCAGTTACGGGGAAATGGTTTTCGCGCAACGCATTTTTCGAGCGACGCGGCGAGGCGCTTGTCAGGAATGCATCCACCGTGTGATACGAGGAGTGAATGTACACTCGTGTATTCTACTCAACAGATGGCCACACACAGAGTGAATTTGAGAATTAACTTTTTTGTTCCTTTCACTTAATAGTTCTACTCTCTCAACAAAAGCTTACTCTCTGAACAATGAAATGTTGTGCTTGTGTAACACCCCACAGGAAAGCAGACGGATGCCACCTCGGGGAATGTCATATATGGTAAGTACATGTGTGTTTTATTTAGATACCTTTTGAAGCAATAAAATTTACTAGTTACGAACTTAAATTTCGATTTAAAGCTTTCGTGACTGCAGGGATTCATCTTCTTGGTTCTTTCGGTAAAGTCGCGTAGAAGGGAAATAATAAAAATAAAACATAATAAAATACAATTCTCACGACGTTTCGGCCACAACTCAAGCAGCCGTCCTCAGGTGAAGAACAGGTCTGTCGGAAAGACAGCGTCTGAATGAATGACGCTGTCTTTCCGATAGACCTGTTCTTCACCTGAGGACGGCTGCTTGCGTTGTGGCCGAAACGTCATGAGAATTGTATTTTATGATGTTTATTTTTATTATTTATTATTTCCCTTCTACGTGACTTTACCGAAAGAACCAAGAAGATAGTTACAAACTTTTTTTATTTTTAACTAAACGTTTTATAATTTACGACTCGTATTCTCTTGCATTGACCGTTTGAAAATGTTTGAAAATATACAGTTCCGCAATTTTATTTTTTACACATGTTATCGTTAGCTATAACTGGCTTAATAGTCCAATTTGACCTACCTCTGGATGTTTAGTTGGGCTGTCAGAGAGAGACCCAGGAACCACTCGACTCCTCAATCAGCTTCTAAGTACCACACAGCATCTCGTATGCCAGGGCATGTGGCCGTCACGGGCTAAGCGGTGAACAAGTGTTTTTTGTGAAGAGCTGCAATGTGGCTACATTTTTTAGGTTGAGTTGGATTCGCAATCGTAAAGTTGTCTTAATAATATCCCTGCCGAGATTAACTCAACTAAAAACTGTGGGTGGGGCAGGTGTTGTCAATATCCCTCCCACCCCCCTCTCTAGTTTCCTCCGCATGCTTGGGAAGATTATCTTCCGGCACAGCCAATGCCGACTCATTATAAGCTTGCCTCTCCAAACACACTCAAACACCCTCAAATAAGAGGCGACCCAACAGCTTGCATTAGCTGCGTCTCACGCGCTGTTCAATGTACCGTGTGTAGCTGCGAAGCTAAGTACCCCTAGTGCACACTTGCATTTCTGCGACTTATATTCCAACCATGGTGGCAGTTGGATTAATCACGAGCAATATAGGCCGCAGCTGGTCAGTCAGTGGTGAAGAATTACAGGCAGGGCGGGAGGGAAAAATATAAATTAAATCTTGACTTAAAGCTTTCGTGACTGCAGGAATTCATATTCTTTGGGTCTTTCGGTAAAGTGACATTGGAAAGAAAATAAATTAAATAATAGAATACGACGTTTCGATTGCAACACAAGCAGTGGTCGTCAAGTCGAACTAAATTTGAGAGAGAGACAAAACACAGACACGGAGACACACAGAGAGAGACAACAGAGACACACAGACCCAATGCTTCTGTGTCGTGCCCTTAAATAGAGAGAGAGGGGGGGGGGGGGGGGGGGGGCAGAGAGAGAGGTGGGTCTGCTGGAGCAGAGAAATTAGCATGTCAATGAGAGAGCTGTGTGGAAATCCACCTCGTGGTGGCAGGGGGAGGGAAAGACCCAGCAAGTCTGGTAAATATTTTTGTTTAGAGAGAGTTGTGTGGAAATCCACCTCGTGGTGGCAGGGGGAGGGAAAGACCCAGCAAGTCTGGTAAATATTTTTGTTTAGAGAGAGCTGTGTGGAAATCCACCTCGTGGTGGCAGGGGGAGGGAAAGACCCAGCAAGTCTGGTAAATATTTTTGTTTAGAGAGAGTTGTGTGGAAATCCACCCCGTGGCGGCAGGGGGAGAGAAAGATCGAATGGACCTATGAGAGCTTGGTACATTTCAGACAGAGAAATGGGCAGTTATAGAAAACAAACTAAGCTCATTTTTGGAAATGTAATGCAATGCAACGCAGAGAGTCGGCTAACACACAGTTAACGCATAGCCTGGTTGATTAAAAACCAGGTTGACAAAAATCTAGGACGTTTCGACCGCAACACAAGCGGTCGTCGTCAGGACTAGGGGATGACGGCTTGTGTTGCGATGGAAACGTCGTAGATTTTTTGTTATTTTCTTTGAACCTATCTACGTGACTTTACCGCAAGACCCAAAGAATATATAAATTCAACTTTATTTTTTATTTTTACCAGGTTGAGGGCCCACTGAGCTATTCAGCTCTTTTCAGAAGCGACCTGGCTATTACAAATGATAGCTCAACAAAGCGGCTTATCACGTGGACATTTATAGCAGCCAAATACTTTAAATGCGTGTTGATTCTAAATGTGGAGGGATGAAACCGGAGGACCCGGAGAAAAATCCACGCGACAACGGGGAGAACATGCAACCCCCAAACATACAGCAGGTGTCAGGGCCAGGATCGAACTCACAACCTCCTGTATACCGGGTGAGATAGTTAACATCTCGCTACCATGGTGCCCCTAAAAGATAGCTAGGACCCCTGTGGCATGGTCAACTCGACAGCGTTGGTAAAGTGACCATTTGCCTGGTGAATTTGCGCCATTCCATTGATGACGTCACCCTGCTGCTGCTCTATATAAGAACGGGAGACAGAGCAGAGCCTCACCATTTTGGCGAATTGCCTGATGATGCTGGATGCAATTACCAGCGAAACGTCGTACTCAAATTGTAAATGTTGTGGTTTCATGCTTCAACACACCGGTGGGCTAAAGCAGTGAACGATTTGTCTTTTGTCAACGTGACACTTTTTTACTGATTGGCCGTGTCGGGTGGTGGAGGGTTACGACACATTTATAAATAACGCGATCTAAAGCCAAAAACGTTGATTATGAATAATATTGGTCGCCAAAGCCTACGTGTTAAACTGAGGGATCTAACTGGTTGTATTTTATGTGACGTGGGCTCTGTCCATAGCAATGTGGAATTTGCACCAATGGCTCTGTACTTTCGAAATGAATGCCCTTCATCGCTCCGATAACAACATTGTCACTCGGGAGTTGCATTTCAGTTAGGACTTTGTGTCTTTTTGCATCGTGGGTTTTAGTTTTGATTACTATAATTGTTGCCTGCTTACAATTTAAACGACTCGCTTTTTTCAATTTTTCAACAGCTCTGTTGAATTTTAACGTTTCTAAAAAATTGCAAGTGCTTCCTATGACCGCCATCAGGACAATGTTATTAAGCGTCTCCGAAGAGACAATGGTGAAGCCCCATCTAGCGACTGAGGATGCAGAAGGTTATTCTCAATATCAGTTCTGTGACAGATTGCATTGTGATGTTGGGTTTTGTGCCCGGCAATTATGTCCTGCTTCCGTGAGATGTCCCCTGTACCACGGAGGAGACACGGGGGCATGATGAGTGGGGTTCATGTCATGGCACAGCATGGAAGACAACACGGCAATGATTATGCGAATTGCATTGCGTTTTTCGGTAGTAATAGGATAATTACGCAACACGACGGAGATGAAATTGGTTATATAATGATCATAATTCATAACACCGCATGGAATTGTGGAACTTAGACCGGAAAGTGCACAGATGCTGGGAGAGATGCATGCCTGGAATTACGTTGAGTAACAGAATGGGGAGCAAGTGGATTGGAGCGCTTAAGTTGTTTGTTTGTCTAATTTTAGATAAACTTTTCTTGGAGGGGGTCGTGGTCCAGCGTGCCGACTGCAGGCCCGTCGTTGGAGAATCCTACATGAAGATGAAAAGGTTTGAGAATTATATTTATATATTTTTAAAACTTTCTGTCAATTTCAACCGCGATTTAAAACTGGGAAAAACCTCGTCGTTTGGTATAATTTCACGTCAAGGCAGAGGTGAAACCTTCACTTGAGGTTCTTCATCGGTGCTAAATATCCACACACACACACGTAACATTGATACCACGGGACCGTGAGAGGTGGTGACGACTTACGACTTTGGGGAGGCGTTAATCCAGCATTGGATTGATCATGGCTGATGATGACGATGATGATCTGTACGTGTGTTCATTTGAAAAGCGAGTTTACTTGCTAATGTTTGGAAATGTTTATAAATGTGAGCGAGTAGCAGGTAAACCTTTAAATTGCATTGTGTCCAGGGTTCTTTGCCTTTCGGAATTATAGAACGCCTACAATTGGGGTTTTGTGTGCGCGCCTGCCTGCTACGTTGTAGAAAATGCAACGTGTTTGCCCATAACACTGTCCTAAAAGTATAAATTATATAACAGGCGGCATTTCAGCAAATGGCTCTTTGTCATCATGCAGACAGTGGCTAGTGTCTATGCCTCTATGCGGTGGCGGGATGTTAACTACCTCGCCTGGTATACAGGAGGGCGTGGGTTCGATCCCGATCCTAAAGCCTGCTGTGTATTTAGAGTTTGCGGTGTCTCTCGTTCTCATCATCATCATCATCACGGTTGCTAGGAGATGTTGACTACCTCGCATGGTATACAGGAGGTCGTGGGTTCGATCCCGACCCTGAAGCCTGCTGTGTATTTAGAGTTTGCCGTGTCTCTCGCTCTCATCATCATCATCACGGTGGCTATGAGATGTTGACTACCTCGCCTGGTATACAGGAGGGCGTGGGTTCGATCCCGACCCTGAAGCCTGCTGCTGTATATTCGGAGTTTGCGTGTTCCCCCAATGGTCACGTGGATTTTCTCTCGGGTCCTCCGGATTTCCCTCCACATTTGGAATGAACACGCATTTAGAGTATTTGTCTGCTATACGTTTCCACATTATAAGCCATTTTGTTGGGCATTCATTTGCAGCCAGAAAGCTGTGCAGCTCAGTGGGCTTTGCCTGCTAATATAAAAAATGGGTTTGTCTGTAGTTTGGAGTGTTTTCATGGTTTGTGCTTTTGCGCACCGATTAGCCAGCGCAGCATCACCAAATAATTTGGTCATCTTGCAGGATGCAGATTGAAGAGTCCTCCAAGCCGATGCGGTTGTCTCAGCAGCTCGAGAAAGCGGTCACGACAAATTACAAGCCCGTGGCAAACCACCAGTACAACGTGAGTTTCCTGTTGAATGTTACAATGTGCACATGTGTCGTGGGTAAATAACTGGAGGAGAGTTTACTTGAGGCAACACGGTTTATACTGGTAGGAACCTCTGGTTACACCAGCCCACGGGATTATTGTGTCCGTCCGTCCGTCGTGCAGGGAGGGGCTGGGTGGGAGGGAGGGGCTGGGTGGGGAGGGTGGGGAGGGGCTGGGTAGAGAGGGTGGGGAGGGGCTGGGTGGGGTGGGGCTGGGTGGGGGGGGTGGGGCTGGGTGGGGAGGGGCTGGTCACCCCGTAGTGCCCTTATAAAACTCAACGTTTAACCTACTCACGCCGGCTTGTGCCCGCCCTCACAGTCGGGCATATTTGCGGAATACACCACGCCGCCGTTGACCCTGGCCATTGACCGAGCAACCCAACGTCCCTACCAGCTCCCTCCGCAGGAATGTGTTTAACAGTAACTGCTGACACAAAAGGGTAACGGGCCCCTTACACCTGATATGCTAAGGAGGTAGCCTCTCCGGACAATTAGGCCTCTCGCTGACTAATGCACGCACACAATTCACATGAGCACAAAATATAGCTACGATGTCTGAGATGAAAGAGCAATTGCAATGGTACTCCTCCGCCTCAAATCGTTGCACCTGATGAGTTAAATGATGACGTCACCCTGCTGCTGCTGCTCTATTTAAGACCGGGAGCAAGAGCAGAGCCTCCCCATTCTGGCGAATTGCCCGATGATGCTGGATGCAATTACCAGCGAAACGTCGTACAACTCAAAAATTGTAAATGTTGTGGTTTCACGCTTCAACACACTGGTGGGCAAAAGCAGTGAACTATTTGTCTTTTGTCAACGTGACACTTTTTTTGCTGATTGGCCTTGTCGGGTGGTGGAGGGTTACGACACATTTATAAGTAACACGATCTAACCCCAATAACGTTGATTATGACTCCTAAATATCCCTAACACAGTGGGGTAAATGCCTTGACGTTTTGCGTTGGTGTCTCTTTAAGACACAAAGAAACGGACGGGTAATGGCGAAGCCGTTCTCGTTCACTCGTTGTTTATCATCGTTAGCAGCTGGCCATCCTGTGGACGCCGGCGTGCGTGCAAAACCACTGTCGATGTGCCCCACGTGTTGGGCTGCTTCCCCACCCCCCCCCCCACCGTTTCAGGTTATTACAAAACAACGGTTGTTTTGTAACGCCGGCTCACTAAAAAAAAAATATCCCCGGGGTTCCGTTTGCATAACAAGACATCACTACACTGACGCCGAGGCCCTAACCAGAGCTGCCTCTTCAGTCCCTTGGGGGTGTTGTGTGCGACTTTGGGGACTCGCCTGCCCCCTTCGGCTCTTGTTGCCTCAGTTTGTCGCTGCCCGCCTCACGTGTTTGTGCCTATTCTTGGTTCTTTCGGTAAACTGCCAAATCGCTGTCTGTGGTGCTGACGTTAGGAAAAACTTTTTTCAAGTTTTCTTGCTGTGGATTTCACACCTGATGATGATTGCTTGTGTTGCAGTCGAAACGTCGTGAGAATTTTTATAGTTTATTATTTAATTATTTCCCTTCTACGTGGCTTTACCGAAAGAACCAAGAAGATGAATCCCTGCAGTCACGAAAGCTTTAAATCGAAATTTAACTAAATTTTGATTTAACTAAATTTTGATTTAAAGCATTCGTGACTGCAGGGATTCATATTCTTGGTTTTTTCGGTAAAGTCACGTAGAAGGGAAATAATAAAACAATGAAATAATAAAATAATAAAATACTTTTATTATGTTTTATTTGTATTATTTCCCTTCTACGTGACTTTACCAAAAGAACCAAGAAGATCAAAATTTAGTGTTTGTTCCTGTTTCAGCAATCGTTTTTTTACACCCACCCTCCCACCCGCTACCTCCTCCGAGCCGTTTCCCCGCTCCTCCCTGGCCCAATGCGACGCTGACGCTCTGAACCATTTTTTTTTCTCTGCCGGTTTTTCTTATCTGCAGATCGCGTTCGACCGCAGGAAGAAAGAGGAGGGCAAGCGCGCGCGTGCCGACAAGCAGCAGGTCCTGGACATGCTCTTCTCCGCCTTCGAGAAGCACCAGTACTACAACATCAGAGACCTGGTGGACATCACCAAGCAGCCTGTTGTGAGTGCCGTTGTGCGTCGTTTCTTTTCTTCTCAATGTCGAGATGGAGTCGCGGGCATAGCCACCTCGATGGCCTGGTAAGACGATGTGTCATTTATATTATTTGTCAGCAGGAGGCAGTGCACTGATGTGAACCGTGGACACCCCCTGGCTGTACACGTATGTACAGTGGAACCTCGGTATACGTCGTTAATTCGTTCCAGAAGGTAGGACTTATACCGAAAATGACGTAGACACCAAACGAATTTTTCCCATAAGAAATAAAGGGAAAGGAAATAATCCGTTCCAGAGGAAAATAAATGATATTTTATGTAGCATATTATACATTAATGGGGTTGTCTAAAATAATTTAGACACTACTTATTACTAAAATGCACAGAAGCCACGTGACCGCGCTGCTGCCAGCTGCGCTGGTCACGTGGTGCGCGCCTCGACCCCCCGGGGCTCCACCCTCCATGGGGGCAGCCGCCCCCCGCCCCTCTCCCCCATGCCCCTCTCCCCCACGTCCCCCGCCCCTCTCCCCCATGCCCCCCGCCCCTCTCCCCCACGCCCCTCTCCCCCATGCCACCCCGCCCCTTTCGCTTTGTCTCAGTCGTGAACGGGGCACACGCGGGTACCAGTGACTCATCCCGACCCATACAAGTTCTAGCAAGCGCGTCGTATCCCATGCAAGACATCTTATCCCAAGACATTTAAAAAAAAAAAAAAACACGACTTATACCAAATTCGACGTATTCCAAAGCGGTCGTGTATGGAGGTTCTACTGTACATTGAACCTCTTTCGCACAGTACGTAGCCAACCGTGCAAATCCGAGGTGGGGGGGGGGGGGGGAAGGATGGCAAACTGAACACGAAAAAGCAGTTGTCGAAGAGATGAGGCTTCAGTCGAGAATGAGCCACCGTGCCTCCCGTCGCCTACGCTGTGTCTGCGGGCAGTGATAACGGCGGCGTGACGTGCCAAGCTCCCACGTCTTTCACAAGCCAGAGTGTAGTGAAGTATGGATCACGTCTGTACGTAAGTTGAATTTTTTTCGCACCGTACGTAGCCAACCGTGCTAATCAGAGGTGCGGGGGAAGGACAATAAACGAAACAACAAAAAGCAGTGGGGGGGGGGGGGGGGTGGGTGAGGCTGTCATACAGTGGCAGATCAACAAAAGAGATCATCATGTACACATGGCTCCTTATGCAGCCCAACAAAAATTTGGGCATCACGACCCCATGCACCTTCGCTTCAAAATTCTCTTGGGACCAGTGGGTGGTGAGGAGGAGGGGGTGGGGGTTGTGATTCGAAGGTTTTCACTCATTTCTCTGCCCTTTGGTTTCCAGATGAAAATGATTGGGGTTCTGTGTTTGCATTCAATTGTGAGTTGTTGTGGATTTCGTTGTTGACATTGCTCCAGAGAAGTGCCACGACTATATACAGCGAGAAGGGGGGACAATTGGCAGAGCCGAGAGATCGATCGAGAATGTTGGTGAAAAATGGGGCCGAGTAAAATGCAAATTTTCTTGAATTTAATTTTGGTAGGGGAAGGGATGGAGACCAAAAATTGGGGACTTAGAGACCGAATCTGCGACAGCTGATAGGAGGCAACCTTGAAAAAAATTCTGAAAAGGTGTGCCCTGGAAAGGTGGGGAGGGGGGAGAATCCGGCATGGATGTGTGGAGGGTTGGTGGGGGGGTGGGGATGAGATGGGCCAGAGTCGGGAAGTTGTTAATTGCTGTTTTTAGCTGTGGGAGAAAAACGGAGAGCCCAGAGGAATTCCATGCAGAACAGGCGAGGGGGAGAGAACCAGACAGACTCCACGCGCAGGAAGGGAAGGTTCCCCAGTGAGGAATCGAACCCAGGCACTTGTTGCTGTGAGACATTGGTACCACCACTGTGCCACCCCCCCTCACCTTCAGGGTAAGAGCGGAGGTTGGTCTGGGTGTGGTGCATGTTTTGTAATGACGACTGCACACGCGTACACACACGTGCCCTGCCCATCGCAACCTTCCCAACGGTTTAATGAAATTGGTAATGATTTTGGGTCGTGATTTAATTTGCGAGTCTTTTATTTTTTTCTTCAAAATTCTCACACTCTCTTTTGTGCGGTCTCTCAGACTGTCATTTTTGCTTAGTTTTGCCCGCTCCCGTTAGCCTAAAGTGTAACGTCAGCTGTATACGTTACACGAATCGTAAATAATAATTGATTCTCACACACAACACACGATTGAATCCATGCATCGTTCGTGGAAGAATACATTTTAAATGATGAATAGATGTACCATTGGATGCCTAGCGGGCACCCAGAGGTCTGTAATCAATCAAAAGACCAGTTGGTGGGATACTGTGAAAGCTTTGTTAATGCAGTGGTCCTTAACGTTTACGCAGCCTTGCACTCCTTGGGTTCTCAATGGGAAGATAATGTAAAATGTTAATAAGTACATGTAGGTTTGATGTAACAAAGTAGTTGTATTTTTTTTATTTAAAGCTTTCTTGACTGCAGGGATTCATATTCTTGGTTCTTTCGGTAAAGTCACGTAGAAGGGAAATAATAAAATAATAAAAATATAAAACAATAAAATTCTCACGACGTTTCGACTGCAACACAAGCAATCATCATCAGGTGTGAAATATGTTCTTGCTGTGGATTTCACACCTGATGATGATTGCTTGTGTTGCAGTCGAAACGTCGTGATAATTTTATTGTTTCATATTTTTATTATTTTATTATTTCCCTTCTACGTGACTTTACCGAGAGAACCAAGAATATTAACTAGTTGTACTTACGCGCCCATGCTTAATTTGTCTTTTCGATGATTTTCCTTCTTAAAAAAAAATCTGGCCCTGTCTCGCCGCCCCCCCCCGAAAGGGCATCTCTGCACCCCCAGAAAGGGTGATCTCGCACTCCCAGGGGGTGCGTGCACCCCAGGTTAAGAACCACTGTTGTACCCTTTCCCACATGTTGGGCCAGTACAGTGCGATGGCCTTGCCAGCTTTAATACACCTGGGTATGTTCTTGAACAATAATGGGAAGCCTCGCTGCCAAGTGCATAGTACAGAGGGACTCGACTAACCAGTTTTGAAAGTTTGGCCTGCAGATAAATTGAATGATTCGATGTTTTTTCATGTGCCCACTCGTGATTGACGACTGGTTGCTGCGCCAGCCTAATGAGGCGAACAGTTGGGCAAGTTTGTTTTGTGCCTGCTCCTCTCGAGGTGGTGACGATACGGTGGCGTGGCCGGCAAGCTACTGGACATCTGTGTAAAAACAAAAAGAGCGTTACAGCTCATCGGATTCCTCCGGTGTAAATACATATTTTGATTCTGAAAACTCAGCTTGTGGTTAGGACAGGGGTCGGCAACCAAAATAACAAGAAGAGCCATTTCTTTCCAATTCGGTACAAAATTCAGTATTTCAAGAGCCGCAATGCATCTGAGTACATACGTACTCATCGTCAAGAAGCAGCCCGTAAAGAGCCGCATGCGGCTCCGGAGCCGTAGGTTGCCGACCCCTGGGTTAGGTGAGCAATTCCAGCCGTCTTGAGATTCGAGTAGGGAGCATAACACGGGTTCATCTGTATGTGTGTGTGTATGTTGAACTTCTTAGCTCGTGTGCTTGATCTTTCCAGCGCAGGATCGTGAGAGATTTCGGACCGATTGGGGGAGGCCTTTATGCAGCAGTCTATTGATCTTGGCTGCTGCTGCTGCTGATGCTGCTGCTATTGCTTGGCTGGCTGACGCTATTCACTGATGTCTGTTAAAGTACACAATTGTAAATATGTTCCGTGTAAGGCCACGTTGAGGCTTTTAACCAAGATGCCAAGTGGGTACACCCAATAAAGTTCCTGTAAGCGCAAAAAAAAATCCTTGCCACGATTCGTGAACGTGGCAATGTAAATTCACGAGCCGTGCGATGCGGGTGCCTGATTATCCGTATTGAAATCTCACATGCAAAGGCAATGAAGCTCTTTGTCAAACCAACTATTGGATGAAGGCCTCCTGGAGGTTGTTTTTGACCATGCTCATCATTGCAGGTTGGGTATCAGAACTGCTTCAGATATCTGTCCGTGGAGTTAAACTCCGCTACAGTGGATCTGCGAGGCATTGCTCTAAGCACTTCGCCACCAGTGAGGAGCCCCTTAAACACCGTCACGGTCGGCGTTCAACGTAATCTCGGGTTCTGAGCGTGTCTTTATTTGGAGGAGCGCTTTGTAAGGCAACGTGAGTAGCAGCTGTGTATGCAATTGCACGTGGCCTTGCGCCCACTTTAAGCGATGCAAGTAAAACATGGTTTGTAAAAGTGTCAACCGTAAAAAAAAAAAAATCCCGTGCGGACGGAATCAACAGCTGGAGTGGAAAACAAGCGATGTTTTGCGCTTCGGGATGATTTTATTTTTAACCAGGTGAGAACTCAAGGGAGCATGAGATAGGCGTTTCATTTTGCAAGGTTGACCTGGGGCATTAGTCTGCCAGGAGGAGGCAATGATTGCTGCTACGTCTGCTCTTTGGTGATTTCCGTGTTAAGTTTGTTCGCCTGCCCCGGCAACCTCCGATTGGCGCGGTTGGCTACGTACAGTGCGAGAGAAGTACAACATACGCAGACTCGCACAGAGACCCATACACTCATCAACTCGCACAGACACATCTTGATTTGAAGCTTTCGTGATTGCAGGAATCCATACTCTTTGGTTCTTTCGGTAAAGTCACGTGGGTAGAAAATAAAAAAAATCACGACGTTTCGATCGCAACACGAAGCAATCGTCATCAGGTGGGACAACCACAGCAGTTTTTTCGTGCTGTGGTTGTCCCACCTGATGACGATTGATTGGTGTTGCTATCGAAACGTCGTGCTACCTACGTGAAAGAATCAAAGAGTATAGAGACCCATAGTTTGTTGTCCTTTCCCCGCACCTACAATTAGCGCGATTGGATACGTATGATGCGACAGACGTTCACCATACATACATCTCCCAAGAGGGCAATCTTTCGTAGTGACACGGAGATGTGTACATTTCCTGCTCTTCTGTTTTTTTGCAGACATACCTCAAGGATATTCTGCGCGAGATCGGGATCTACAACGTGAAGGGGACTCACAAGAACACGTGGGAGCTGAAGCCAGAGTACAGACATTACCAGAGCGACGAGAAGAGTGACTGACAACTCGGCTCAGTGTGTGGGCCCGCATCGCGCGTGCGTGTGTGCGTGTGTGTACCATACGACTCATTTAAACGCTGTTTATAAATGGGTATCACCACCACCGGTTGCGTATGGTGACGTGATGGGGTAAAGTGTGGGTACACCCACCGCTTCTAAAGGTGTTTGGCCAGCTTGCAAGAGTAGGGCCAAAAACATACCCCGCTCGAAGGGCTGTCTCGTGAGGCAGGGCTTGAACCTTCACCTTTAAGTTAATGTGCCCGGGTGTTGGCAGCAGCCTCCTTATTGAGAAGGATCGTTCGATGATGCGGTGGTGATGGCGAGGGTGGCGTTTGTCTCTTTGCAATGTTGCACTGCTGTCGATGCGGTACCAGCATTTGTTTTTAATGTGTTGAATAAACAAAAAAAATGTCTTATTCCTTCAATTAATTTCTCCACGTAGCGGCTGGCTGTGTGTGGCTCCCCACATCATCCGGTGCTGTGGGCCTTTACCGAACAGCTGAACGGGCACGCCTGAGATATGCGTTTTCATAACCCAAGCCCGCCAACTCTCATCTGGTCAAGTTTAGCCGGTTTTCGATGGTATCTGCAGGCAGGCACCAACCAAAAGCTTGGTTTTGCATTCAAGTTGCGCAAGCCTAATGCCTTGCAAATTATTTGACGACAAATTAAGCGATATCGCCCCACTCGTGTTCACAGCTTGAGTGCGTGCGCTCCTTAAGAGGTGGGAAGGTAATTGTCATTGGACACCATCTCTTAAAGGTTTTTTTTATTTTCCAGATTTAAAAGATTGTAATACATAAATCAACATTCCCCCAACTTTGACCTGGATGTGCATCGTCATTGAATATTGTCTGTGCGTGCAAGTAAAGTGAAGTTACAGTATTGTCAGATGTTTTGTTTGCTTTGTCATGAATAGAAATTCTATAAATATGTCTTCAAATGTCTAAAAGTATGTCACGAAACCTGTTTAATTTTTTTTTCCACAATGCAGTCGTACTCGTACTGAAACTACTACGTTTATGAACGCGTAACATGGGACAGTTTAGCGTAATTATTGTGCACGCAAGCTTTACAAGCATTACCGAAGGCCGCCGTTTGCTACTGCTCAGCACGGCTTTGATCTGCAAATAAAACGACGGTGCTCCATCAACCCCTTCAGAAGAGCAACTGGTCGCTGCGCACTCGTCCACAAGTGGAAAATCAAAGACGACAACCCACGGTGTGACTGCGGGTCACCCGGACCGCACAAATTGACCATATCGCGAATAACTGCATCATCCTACGCCCGCTCTCCGGCGGACTGAGCGGAGTTAGTTGCACAACTCTCCCGAAGCTATCGCGTGGCTCACGAACTTGAACTTGCGCGTGTCATTTGCACATTTGCCATACGCTGGAGAGAGAGAGAGCGATACCGAAATTAAAACGTCTTCTCAAAATAGTGCAGTGTCCTTTGAAACCACACTGTAGCTGTTAAAAGCTCGCTTGCTTGCTACAAACGGCGTCTTTGTTACCCAAGTTATTTTTTGAATGTTGTCATTTGAAACCAACGGATGAAAACGTTGCAGGATTTAATAAAGAGCCAATTAAAAAGAGCGGGCATGTTTTTATTTTATTTTACTCCGCGTGAAGCAGCAGTGCCTTTCATTTTAACACCTGAAGAATGTTCGTTGACGTTTTCAACAGTGTCTTGTTTCTCACCACGTTTTGGAGAAACATCCTCAAGTATTATTTCGTGCCTGCGAGGCGTTGAATAAGTGCCACTTAAGTGCTTTGCCATGGGTTTCGGGATATTATTTGACCGTAAAAAAAAGGTGTGGTTTATATGCGAAAGGCTTTTTTTTGGGGGGGGGGGGGTATGGGGTGGGGTATCTGTATCGCATGGCTATTATCCAAAGCAAATGTGGAAAAGGTTACCAAGGACACTGTTAATGGCACTAACGTTCACCAACAACGTCTGCCAGACCCCATATCTCTTGGGGGGGGGGGGGGGGGAGTCAATATCTCACCTTTCAGGTCTATTTTTAAAAAACCTCCCTCCATCTATCTTTATAACTCGCATTGTCGCTGATAGTGGTCGACCATTCGCAGTGCCTGTCCCAATAAATGCGTCTTGCGCGAATCCGCCCATCATCTATCATTATGACTCATTGCCACTGATACTGGGTGGCCATTCGCTATGCCTGCCATAAAAATTCCATCCTGTGCAAATCCTCCCACCATTTGTCCTCGTGATCCTCTCTCGTCACTGAAACTGAGTGACCATTCCCAATGCCTGTACACCTTGCAACAAATTCCACACCCATCAAAACCATTTCCCCCCCCCCACTCTCTGATTACGTCTACAAGGCTAGTTGTGGCACGTTCCATTCCAAAGGTTCAGCTTGTGGCGCTTGTCTGTGGAGGGAGTTCGGGGTGGCGGGGGGGCATGGGGAGTAAAGGTTACACACACGTGGTGGAGTGTGGAGCAACAACAGCGGCACATGCACCGTGCGAAGTTGCTTGCGCCGGCCAGAGGCTTGTCGGCATTGGAGAGGCTGGCACCCCGGGGCCTTGCTGACGCATGGAAAGGGCATTTGGTCGTCTGCCGCTAGAGCCGAGCGAGGGTGAATTGGGGTCCGTTCTGCGCACCTTGAAGTATCGATTTATTTACATGGCCAATCGGTGAATCATTTCAACGTTTGTCATGTACTCCACTGTTATTGGCCACAAACAATGGGGCCCGCGAAAGTTATGGTACAGGTGGTACCTATTCTTAGTTTTCGGTAAAGTCACGTAGGTAACAAAATTAAATTAATAAAAGTAAAATAAAAATTTAATAAAAATCACGACGTTTCGGAGGCAACACAAGCTTCCGTCTTCAGGTGGAACAGTCACAGCACGATAGCTGTATCAAGTGAGAGAAATTCCAAGAAAACCGTATTTTTATATATACTGGTTGAGGGTGGGAGGAGCCAAGGTAGGCCCTGGATATTATTTTTGTGAGGTTCGGTGCGGCTGAAGCACGCTGTTAGGAATGAGCCTTTGTTGTGTAAACTAGGTGCGGATGATGGAAAGGTGCCTTTTTGTTATGTAGAGATGATGCGGCTGAAATCGCTGCCAGGAAATTAGTCTTTGTACCGACAAGCGAAATGTACAATTTGGCCTCTTGAACTAAAGTTCCCGGAGCAGCCCCATGTAAAGTTGCACCTGCACACGAAATATGTAGAACTTCTTTCGCACCGCACGTAGCCCACCGGTGCTAATCGAAGGTGCGGATGGAAGGACACGAAACAACACAAAAAGCAGTTCTATTCGAAATGAGTTCTCAATCTACATTTAAAAGTGCGCACCTACGGTGGTGTCCTAATACACTGCTCAACACACTTTTTCTGGCATAAGGTATTCCAACGGTTTTAAGGTAATTCCAAATCTGGCATCAGTTTTTGTCTATCACATCAGGTTTTTGAGATATCAAATATTGCATTTTCAATAAAAACTGCAGAAGAAAAACATTAAATAAATGTGGATATCTACATAAAATGGTATTATAAACACTATCCTAAAAATACAGCACCATATTTTAACACTAAAGCAGTCACTGACTCGCAACAACTTGCAATCATAAGTGACAGAGTTAATTTCGGGTAAAATCCATGAAAATGGGGTATGCCGATAGCATAAAAATGAGATGTGATAGAGCAAATCTGAGATCAGATTTGGAATCAGCACCCTGAAATTAGTCTAAAACAGCTGCAAAAGTCCAGGCCAGAAAAACATGTTTTTTTTTTGTTGACCAGTGTTAGCAACACGCGCTGATCACGGTGACGAGCCTCCTGTCATCCACATCACCTGGTGGGGAAGCCCCACAACACCGCCCACTCACCCCCACCCCCAGTGCCACGAAATCCACCTTTTTTTTCTGCCGGCACGCACTGCGTGACTTTTCGGCGTCTCGTTTACGACAAAAAACAAGTAAACCCGTAAAAACAAAGTTTTTCACTATAAATCCTTTATACGCGTGGCATCGGGGCGGCTAGAGTCCTCTCGTCCTCTGGCTTGAGATGGCTGCCACCTATGGGTCAGACGATTGTCTGGCAGCATTAAACAATTGGTAATTAAATATTTTATAAAAAATTCCCCTAAAAAGTGTAAAATTTTGGAAATTTTTTCACGAAAATGCATTGTCATGCACAACGAGTCTGTGTGCAAAATGTCAGCTCGATTGGATCACGGGAAGTGGATTAAAAAACGACCGAAAGATTTGCACGGTCCTAAGCAAGCAAGCAAGCGAACTTAATATAAAGGATTTAAAAAAGCATTCTCTCCCATCGACGGGAGGATTTCTGTTGAAAATTCCCGTCGTTGGATTGTTACTCTTTAGTTCTTTCGCTGAAGTCACGTAGAAAGAAAATAAATTAGATAATAGAGTACGACGTTTCGATTGCAACACAAGCAGTCGTCATCAAGTAGAACTAAATTTGTGACTTTACCGAAAGACCCAAAGAATATGAATTCCTGCAGTCACGAAAGCTTTAAGTCAAGATTGAGTTTTGTTTTGTTTATCTGCGATCGACAGAATGTGTTGTTGCAGGCTTGCGCGCAGTTTCCACGAGAGCGCCATGGGTGGAACCCTGCGTGGTTTGGGGCCGTCCATAAATGACGTCACGCACCTGGGGGAGGGGGGTCAGACATTTGTGACGATGTGTGACGATGGGGGGGGGGGGGGTGAGAAATGTGACGTCACATCAAAATGCGCAACTTTAAATAAATATAGACAACACGTTCTGCTTAATTAAATAGACTTTTTGATAAATGTTTTCTCCTACAACATCAGAGTGCAGCGCTACATTAAATACGCACTACAAGGACAATAGTTGAACGCGATTTGAAGCATGTTTTATTTTGGGGGGGGGGGGGGCAGAGCTTTGTGACGTCATATTTGAGGGGGGGGGTGTCTGACTTTTTGTGACGCCGTGTGACGAGGCGGGGGGGGGTCAAAAATCGTCTAAAACCGCGTGACGTCATTTATGGACGACCCCCTAGTCAATATGCACAGACAGTGCCCTACCTCGTCACGACATCACAGTGCGATTCGCGCGATCCGGTTGCAGGCAGCTTAATTCGCACACGCACCACGTGGTGTGTTGTGTCAACACACACACACGTGGTGTGTTGATCGTCTCCAGTGAGGTTGATGGGCACTGTACCCCAGGGTTACGGGTGGGATGAGGAGTCTGTGCACACATTTCAATCAGTTACGGGATCACGACTGTGCCCCATCCATCTCTTGGTTGCTGAGCGATTAGCTTAGGGGCCGTGGGTGGCCAGCACCACGCCCGACCGTCTTTGTCTCCCCAGTGGCGATGTTTACACACCGCACCAGGTACTCATTTTGAGGCTGAGTCGACCTAGGGGAGGCCCGGGACCGGTTCAGATAATCGTCATCGGTGTTGGCGGTGAGCGGGAATCGCCGGGTTCGCTCCCCCCACACCGAGATACACACACAGACACACACAGAGATACACACACAGACATACACACAGAGATACACACACAGACACACACAGAGATACACACAGAGATACACACACAGATACACACACAGACACACACAGAGATACACACACAGACACACACACAGAGATACACACACAGACGCAGAGATACACACACAGACACACACAGAGATACACACACAGATACACACAGATACACACACAGAGACACACAGATACACACACACAGATACACACACAGACACACACAGATACACACACACAGATACACACAGACACACACAGAGATACACACACAGATACACACAGACACACACAGATACAGAGATACACACACACAGATACACACACACACGCAGAGATACACACACACAGACCAGGCATACACACAGACACAGAGATACACACACAGATACACACACACATACACCGAGATACACACACACAGACACACACACCGAGATACACACACACACACACACAGAGACACACACCGAGATACACACAGACAGACACACACCGAGATACACACACTGACACACACACAGACAGACACACACACCGAGATACACACAGACAGACACACACACAGACAGACACACACCGAGATACACACACAGACACACACACAGACAGACACACACACCGAGAAACACACAGACAGACACACACACACGTACACAAGCTCCGCCTCCACTCCACGAACTGGGCGTGGCTTCACCCCACGTCCAATCCGCGCGTGTCTGGGAGGAGGCGAGAACGATGAGCAGTGGGGGGGTGGAGTGGGTGGAGGGGTGGAGGGTGGAGTGGGGAGAGAATCATCAGAGAGGACCAGCGGCGGATCGAGCGCGGGCGATGATGCCAACAACGCCGCAACGTTTCCTCGTTCCCTGTGTACGCCAGGAGGTCGAGACGGCCTCTCGCGAGCCACAGACGAGTCTCCCGTCGTCGTGAGCAGCGGGGACCAGTCCGACAGGGACATTTAACTCGACGACAGAGCCGTGGGTGCTGACGCTACGATACGCGTGCTGCTGCTGTTGTTGTTGTTCACGGCAGAGTGCGCTGTCATTTTTGTCGCTGCTGCTGCTGCCGCTGTTGTTGTTGTTTAATGGTCTCCCTGCAAGGGTTGTTGAAGCCGCCGCTGCCGCTGTTATTGCTGCTGTTGTTGCTGTTGCTGCTGCGAGGTTTGCTGAATGACAATTCGACCGTCGGCTCGACGAGGCTGTTGGTGTCATTAAGCGAGCCAGCCCGAGCCGTGCCAGGCCGAGCCTAGTCAGCAAGAGCTGAGTCAGCCCGAGCCAGCCCTTGCCGAGCCAGGCCAAGCCAGCCGGAGCCAGCCGGAGCCAGCCCGTGCCGAGCCAGGCCGACCCAACCCGTGCCGAGCCAGCCCGTGCCGAGCCAGCCCGTGCCGAGCCAGGCCGGAGCAAACCCGAGCCAGCCCTTGCCGAGTCAGGCCGAGCCAGCCCGTGCCGAGCCAGCCCGTGCCGAGCCAGCCTGAGCCAGCCCGTGCCGAGCCAGGCCGGAGCAAACCCGAGCCAGCCCGTGCCGAGCCAGCCTGAGCCAGCCCGTGCCGAGCCAGCCCGTGCCGAGCCAGGCCGGAGCAAACCCGAGCCAGCCCGTGCCGAGCCAGCCTGAGCCAGCCCGTGCCGAGCCAGCCCGTGCCGAGCCAGCCTGAGCCAGCCCGTGCCGAGCCAGGCCGGAGCCAGCCCGTGCCGAGCCAGCCCGTGCCGAGCCAGCCCGAGCCAGCCCGTGCCGAGCCAGCTCGAGCCGAGCCAGCATGTCGTTCACGGCGGAGGATCTCAACAATGGGCAGCCGCACTGCGCGGGCAGCAAGAAGAAGAGCGGCTTCCAGATCACGAGCGTGACGACGGCCAGGGCGCACAGCAACAGCGCCGGGGACGACACGGAGGTGAGCTTCGACCTCGAGGACGACGCCTCCACGAAGACCGAGGAGCTCGGCGGCTCCTGCTCGGACATCTTCGACACGCCCGCTGCCGCCGCCTGCGCCGAGATGATTTTCCTCCCCGCGGCCGACGAGACGGAGCAGTTGGCGCCCGCCGAGCCCGGAGATCGAGGGACGCCTGGGGCGGTGGAGTCGGGCGACGGTGGCGGCGGCGGCGGCGATGTTGAGGAGGTTGAGCAGCCTGCTCCTGCCGCTACCTCGATGGTGTTCAGAGCCGATGGTGGGGCACCCGCCGTGGAGGTTGTGGTCGGTGGACACGTCGAGCAAGCGAGCTCGCAGAGCAACCAAACTTACGGTCATCATCATCATCATCAGCAGCAGCAGTCGCAGTCTCACCTGCAGCCGCAAGCCCACGCGACTCCGCACGGCTGCAATTCGCGATTCCGCGTCGTCAAGCTGGTGGAGAAGGAGCCCTTCAAGAAGGGCCGCTGGAACTGCACGGACTTCTACGAGAAGGACAAGGAGGTGGTGGTGGGCCAGGCCTCTGCCCTGGCCCACCACGACGCCTGCTCCGTCGTGTCCCGGGAGAGCGTCGCATTCTCCGGCCCGGTGCCGTCCCTCCACGCCTTCGACAGCCAAGCGTACGGGCAACAACACAACCACCAACAACACCAACAACAACAACAGCAGCAGCAGCACCACCAGCACCCCCAGCAATGCGACCCTCTCGGCGGCGAGAGCGTCCATCGGATGGGCCGGGACGTGCCGGCCGCGTCCTGCGGCCCGAGCCAGCCGGGTCTGGCCCCTCTCGCGGTGGCGCACCCGGCACTGCCGGGTTTCCCTCAGGGCTACTACGAAGCTGCCGCACCAGCGCCCAGCCAGGTGGCCGGCGGCGGCGGCGGCAACACGCTACCTGCGGGCAACGGGGGCGGTGGGTTCTTTGAGCAGCAGCAGCAGTTGGGCGTGCCGGGTGCTCCTCCGGGCATAGGTTGGGCTCCGGACAATCTGCAGAGCGTGACAGCCTCGAACGTGGGCAGCGATGCTCTGTTGCAGGCTGGCCAGCAACAGCAACAGCAGCAGCAACAGCAACAGCAGCAGCCGTTGCAAGTTCCGCAGCAGGGCTATGGGATCTGCCTCGTGGAGGAAGGGACTGACAACCCTCAGCTTCAGCAGGCCCTTGGATTCCACGGCGGTCTCTTAGATCAGCAGATGGAGCAGCAGCAGCAGCAGCAGATGCCCTCCTTCGGCGTTCAGATGCAGCCGCCGCAGCTGCCGCCACAAGCGCCGTTACCGAATTTGTCCGAACTGCAGATGAGGGCCAATTCTCCGCATCCGCCGGTGCTTCTACAGCAGCAGCAGCAGCAGGCCTGGCAGCAAAGAATGCCGCCGCATCCTCAAACAGCGGACGGCAATTTCCTCCAGCATTCGCTGGCGTCGTCGGCGGTCCACAAGCCGGCGTCGCCGATCGCGGCCGGGTTCCCCGCGGTGCCGAAGAGCCCCCCGAGCGCCGTCACGCAGCAGCTCAACTCCGTGCTGGCGCAGATGCACTCGTCGCAGGGCCAGCAGCAGTTCATGGCGCAGAACCCTCACCTGCGGCCGCTGGGCACCGCGCCGCAAGCCGGCCCGGACCCCCCCCAGCAGCTTGCGCCGATGTTTCAGCAGCAGAGCGGTCAGAGCGCCGCGGGGAGGGCGGTCAACGCCCACGTTCTCGCGCAGCCTCCGCCGGTGGCCCTGGGCTTCGACAACATCGTGTCGAACGTCCACTCCGGCGAACCCGCCGGCGTCACGTCTCCGCTGCCCGTCGCCCTCGCCCAGACGTTCAACGTCGGCTTCGCGGACGCGGCGCAGATGGACGCCGCGCTGTTTCCGCCGCCGCCGCTGCTGCTGCCGGCGGGAGCCGCGGGCGCCGGTCGGTACCTCCTGGGATCGGCCGGCGTCGTGCCGCGGCTGGACGGCCACCAGCAGCAGCAGCAGCAGGCGTTCGCGGAGCCGTCAACCGCTGGCGGAGGAGCGGACGGTGCGGCGGTGGCGGTGGCGATGCCCTCCTCTGGTGTGGCTCAAGGTGCGGTGGGCACGGCTGAAGACGACAGGTGAGCGCGGAATGTCTCGCCCGGTGGTTTCGGTTTTGTGGTTTGGAGCCGGCACTACGTACGGTAGTGCAAAATAAGTTTAACATACATACACAGAGACCTACAGACACACAGACCCGTAGACTCACAGAGACCTCTAGAGATACCCATAGAGACACCCACAGAGACCCACAGACTCACACAGAGACCCACAGACTCACACAGAGACCCACAGACTCACACAGAGACCCACAGACTCACACAGAGACCCACAGACTCACATAGAGACCCACAGACTCACACAGAGACCCACAGCCTCACATAGAGACCCACAGACTCACACAGAGACCCACAGACTCACACAGAGACCCACAGACTCACACAGAGACCCACAGACTCACACAGAGACCCACAGACTCACACAGAGACCCACAGACTCACTCAGAAACCCACAGACTCACACAGAGACCCACAGACTCACATAGAGACCCACAGACTCACTCAGAGACCCGCAGCCTCACACAGAGACCCACACACTCACACAGAGACCCACAGACTCACAGACTCACACAGAGACCCACAGACTCACACAGAGACCCACAGACTCACACAGAGACCCGTAGACTCACACAGAGACCCACAGACTCACACAGAGACCCACAGACCCACACAGAGACGCAAAGACTCACACAGACCCAAAGACTCACACAGACCCACAGACTCACACAGAGACCCACAGACTCACACAGAGACCCATAGACTCACACAGAGATCCACAGACTCACACAGAGACCCAAAGACTCACACAGAGACCCACAGACTCACACAGAGACCCACAGACTCACACAGAGACGCAAAGACTCACACAGACCCAAAGACTCACACAGACCCAAAGACTCACATAGAGACCCACAGACTCACACAGAGACCCACAGCCTCACACAGAGACCCACACACTCACACAGAGACCCACAGACTCACAGACTCACACAGAGACCCACAGACTCACACAGAGACCCACAGACTCACACAGAGACCCACAGACTCACACAGAGACCCACAGACTCACACAGAGACCCAAAGACTCACACAGACCAATAGACTCACAGAGAGACCCACAGACTCACACAGAGACCCATAGACTCACACAGAGATCCACAGACTCACACAGAGACCCAAAGACTCACACAGAGACCCACAGACTCACACAGAGACCCACAGACTCACACAGAGACGCAAAGACTCACACAGACCCAAAGACTCACACAGACCCAAAGACTCACATAGAGACCCACAGACTCACACAGAGACCCACAGCCTCACACAGAGACCCACACACTCACACAGAGACCCACAGACTCACAGACTCACACAGAGACCCACAGACTCACACAGAGACCCACAGCCTCACACAGAGACCCACACACTCACACAGAGACCCACAGACTCACAGACTCACACAGAGACCCACAGACTCACACAGAGACCCACAGACTCACACAGAGACCCACAGACTCACACAGAGACCCACAGACTCACACAGAGACCCATAGACTCACACAGACCAATAGACTCACAGAGAGACCCACAGACTCACACAAAGACCCATAGTTTTTTGTCCTTCCCACACACCTCTGATTAGCGCGGTTCAGCTACGTACGGTGCGATCGAAGTTGAAAATACGTACATGCATCATGTCAGGTGGGGCAATGCACCCACATTTTTCCCCCTCTAAATACAAATTCTGGAGCATGGATGAAGAAAGCCGGTTCAACGTTTGGCACGTACGCACTTACACAAGCACGTACGCACGCACTTACACAAGCACGTACGCACGCACTTACGCACGTACGTACGCACGCACTTTCACAAGCACGTACGCACGCACTTTCACAAGCACGTACGCACGCACTTACACAAGCACGTACGCACGCACTTTCACAAGCACGCACGCACGCACTTACACAAGCACGTACGCACGCACTTACACAAGCACGTACGCACACACTTACACAAGCACGCACGCACACACTTACACAAGCACGCACGCACGCACTTTCACAAGCACGCACGCACGCACTTACACAAGCACGTACGCACGCACTTACACAAGCACGTACGCACACACTTACACAAGCACGCACGCACGCACTTACACAAGCACGCACGCACGCACTTACACAAGCACGTACGCACGCACTTTCACAAGCACGCACGCACACACTTACACAAGCACGCACGCACGCACTTACACAAGCACGCACGCACACACTTTCACAAGCACGCACGCACGCACTTACACAAGCACGTACGCACGCACTTACACAAGCACGTACGCACACACTTTCACAAGCACGTACGCACGCACTTACACAAGCACGTACGCACGCACTTACACAAGCACGTACGCACGCACTTACACAAGCACGTACGCACGCACTTTCACAAGCACGCACGCACGCACTTACACAAGCACGTACGCGCGCACTTACACAAGCACGCACGCACTTACGCCATGATATCTCTCAAACGTTTCTCCCTCGTCGAGGAAGGTGGTCAACGTGATCTCCCCGTGAAATCACACGCGCGGCCCGAATCGGTTGAACGTCCCGAGCCGGGCTTCCCCTGCCGTCGTTGACGTCCGTGACCGGTGGTACGGACCCCCCCCCTCCCCAGCCACGAAAACCTCCCAGGGGGATCGGTGACTGAGCCGATGATCCCACACCCCCCCCCCCGTGCCACGGATTTGAACCAACGACTCAACGACTCGCGCCGCGCTTATCCGGTGCGGCCCCCGTGCGTTGCATATCGATCGCGACCGAACGAACTTTTCCCCGTCTTGATTTGGCTCGGGATGAGCGGGGTGGCGTGACGAGGCCGGCGACCCCGAGGTCAATTCCCCAGGCGCGGCTGCCATCGGTGGCGAGTGAATCTCGACGCCCCGGTTCCTGGCTCATCGTTTTGGTTTTTTCACGAATGCCCACACGGATCGTAGCGTCCCGTCAATTAAGGCGCATGGCCGGCTTATTTTCAGCGAAATGCAGTTGAGGAATCTTGTTTTTTTTCAGTACGTGCATCTTCACCGACTAAAAGTAGAGAAAAGCATTAGGTCAAATTTTTTTTAAAATAACGTTCACATCGTTACGGGAAAAATTGTATCGTTGAGATGGTCACGTCAAAATTAACGTCGTCATAATGTACCACTAAATATCTCGTCGCGGGAACCCCAGCGGTAGCTGGCTTGCCATTTGGGCTATTCGCGATGGCAGATAAACCCCGCCAGCACGTTCTAACTCATTTATAGGGATTAGAAGCCCCAACAACGAGTGGAAAAACAAACTTTAATATTGTAGTAATTCGAAAATGCGCTAAAATCTGAACCGGGACAGGCATTGATACCGCCCGGTTGAGCAAGTGTGAACAGCAGCCAGGGGCGAGCGTGGATGGAGCAAATTTGTGCTGCTGTGTTTCCAATAAAACTGTAGGGTGTAGGGTGACATTAAAAAAACAAAACTGTGTTGAACATCTCTTGTAAGATTTTCCAGTATTTATTTTACTTGAGAAGAGAGGCTGCCCTTGTTCCATAGAATTGGCATCGTGTAAACGAACGTGTGTTTTTCAAGCGGGTTTCATCGTGTTTTTTTAATTAAAATCTTCTAATTTATTTCATGCCATCACAGAGAGCATGTTGTTTGACCGCATTTCCCGCCCCCCCTCTCACAATCTCACAATCTAACGTAACGTCATTTAGGCGAATACATTCAACGTTTAAGGGCCAAACGATGGAGCACGTAGAAGGGAAATAATAAAATAATAAAAATAAAACATAATAAAATCATTCTCACGACGTTTCGGCCACAACGCAAGCAGCCGTCCTCAGGTGAAGAACACCTGTTCTTTACCGAAAGAACCAAGAAGATGAATCCCATGTTCGCAATTCTGGCAGCTACCTGATGATGCTGTCGCTGTGACCACCAGCGAAACGTCCGTGCCCGATCGTTAAACGTGGATCGCTCTCCAGCAACGCACCGCTGTGCTGCAGCGGCAATAAATCGGCACGTTTGTCCGTCACGTGACAACCTTATTTAGCCGTCTGCGTCGGCTGAAGGAAGATGGCTTTGCGACGATCATTTTTACCTGCGCGATCTGACCCAAAAATCAATTGTGAACCACAAACCGTACACCGGTGTATCGCGACGTTGCCAAATCCTCTTGTTTATTGAACAAGTGCAGTTTCCACTTTTTAAAAAATAAATTGTCAAATAAATCGGTGGGGACAGGTGCGAATGCGTACGGCTGATCGAAAGACCCATGCCCTGCTGCCCAAAAAAGGATTTAAAAGAGGTTTGCGATCTTTTATCGTCGAATTTGTTTAGGGCGCAGGGCATAGGTTTTTAATCAGATATTATAATCGTCACCACCATTATCGTCAATCCTACTCCGTTATCCTCTCCAAACCATCATCGTCACTGGCGTCATCATCAGGACGATCGTCGTCATCCGTCACTGGCTGTAATTGTGTGGACGTTTATGATATTCAACTTTGGGTTTTTTCCATTCATTTCAACCGGCTGCATGCAAAATGGATCGGGCACGGCAATTTGCCACTTGCCTTTTCTAAAAATACGAGAGACTCCAGCGTACTCTGTGCCCTTCTATTAGAATTAAGATGTCCCTTTGGACAGCACAGCTGTCTAAATGTGACCGCCGCTGGTACATTAACGGTGGGGAAAAAAAAAAACCTTACTTCAGCAAAATAACGTAAAACAATAAACATCAACGTTTCTCCTAGTTCCTGTCATCCAAATTGTCCGTCGATTCAATCCCTCAATTAGAATAAAAATAATCCGATGATAATTTTTTTCCCCGAGAAATCCCACTAATTCAAATCAAGGCTTGATATTTTTCAGAATGGTCCCACATTTTTGGAGGACGATTGGCCCAATTAATCAAAAGGCCGCGCAGAATCCTAAATCCACTGATCGTGAAATATCTTCCTGCTATAATAAACACTTATTATC